TTTTCATTAATATCTGTATGGTGTAAATGGAATTAGGTGACTTTGGTGTGGACCTAGCTTGCCTGGCTCAAAATGGAACAACCAATAAGATGCATTGACTCCTGGATCACAGATTTAAGCTATAGGCAGCCCGAATGCGCCTGCTAAAGTACGATGAATCATTCGTTTCATTTCACGTACAGTCTAGATACATGAGCAACTATTAATATTTAGTACCGCGCATGATGAGCCAGCACCCCATCTGTTGCCATAAACGTCTTCCAAGTAGGTGATGTACACTCCGCCACGAGTGGCCAATCTTCGGTCAAACAGAGTGGTGGCGGCGACGAACGGTAGGTGTATAGCCGGTTGAATCAAATATGGTGATGAAGCGCTTATTTGCGTCGAAATATGCTGTGTAGTAAAAGAAGCGTTGGAGCGTAGGCTATCGAGTCCATCACCATGTGAACGGATTGAGCCAAACCCGCCCAAGTAGCGTATCCATCCGGCACACCCGCATAACCCAAGAAGCCTTATTGCCGTGGCGGCCTCGTACATAACCCTCGAACTATGCCTGGTAGCCACAGGTGAGTGAAAGAGAGACCGTATGGGATTATTACGTCGGACATACCTAGGGTGCTATTGGCGAGGCCATGCGATGAACGCGGTTGGTTACGGCAGAAGTTTTATGTTGATCGTCGTTCCTCTTCATATAACGTAGGACATGCTGGTGTAAAAAAGGGTGAAGGTGCACGCCCTCCTTCCTGCCTGCCATCAGTTTTGCTGCCTGCCAATCAAACGGGCCACGCCTTCGCTTCGCTAGTAGACAAGTCGACCTCTCTGTTCCAACTCGGGGCCAGTACAGACATCGTTCTACATCTTCAGCCCTTGCAGAGGGACGGAAGTGTTGGCCTCGCTCTAGCCTTGTGCCTCGCAGCCGTAAACGCGTTCGAAAGGCCGCTGGGTGCGAGTTGGCCAATTGGGAGATTCCGACAATAAACAAGAGTGTCTGAGAGAGGGTCAATTGTACGCGTTCAAACGGGAGACGTTACGATCGATTGTAGACACTGCTTTCTTTGCTCTTTTGGTACGAGACGATTACTTGTTCTTTGCCCTTTCATCAGCAGACGTACAGTCGTCGCATCTGGTTCCTCCGTCCCCTCTCGC